TCCTCAGACAAAGGACAAGAAAAAAAACCCTAATTTTTCTTTGCTCGAATTCTCTCTCAATCTTCCTCCTCTCAACCCTCTCCAAAAAAATGCACAAGCTTTCGTTTCATGGATCGTGAAAACTCGAGCTTGTGATTCTGATTATAGATTAAGAAAAATCAAAATGATGGAAGCTGTTGATAACTCAAATGTCCTCAATAATGGAGGATTTTCTCAGTTACAGAGTTGCTTCGGAGATTGCAGTAGCGAAGAGGAATTATCGGTGTTGCCACGTCATACAAAAGTGGTGGTTACCGGAAACAACCGTACGAAATCTGTCCTTGTCGGTCTTCAAGGCGTCGTTAAGAAAGCCGTCGGACTCGGTGGTTGGCATTGGCTGGTAAGAACAAATAATCAGCTTCGATTTGTTGGTCTTATTACAGCTTTTCGTCTGCTTGTTTTTCTCCTTTTTTATCTCGCTTCGAAAGGAGAATCTGAAATTGTTGAAAGATAAAAAAAAAGTAGTCTTGAGCTTAAAAAGATTTTTGCAAAATTGATTACCAACAAATTCCAGCTCGAATCATGAGCTTCAATAATGCAGCAAATCAATGGTAGTGTTCCGATTGTTGCATAATCAAGTGGATCGAAGAAGCAAAGTCCATAGCGATGGGATTGATTGTTGTAAAAATACTAACTTTATTCTAAATTGCATCATAACGATTTGGACTTTTTAAGATTTTTTTTTTGTATCTTTTTACTCATCAATTTCTTGAGAATCCTTATCCTTTAACCTTTGTGGGTTCAAGCTGGCTTTTAGATTTGTTTTACTTGTCACTAATTGTTGTTTGATACTTTAAATTTATATTTTAGGGTTTTGTTCTTTCTTTTTTCAGATGGGTCATTTTCATCCACTACTTAATTTTTCTCCCTAGGCTTGCTTAGTTTTTCTTTTTGATCATTACTCACTTCACCATTTCTCTGGCTTTACAATATACTACTAATTAGTATCTTAATAAGATTTCTCTCATAACCAAACAAATATATATTTTACTAATTTCGATATCAATTTCCACCAGTTCTTGTCTCCCATCATTCTCATTTCTCAAAAAGTCCCAAACTTTATTACTTGTTTATTACTGCCTGCAAGTTTTTTAAATTTTAAATCCTCATGCTTTTTCATTTTTCACAGGTTTTGACAAATGGAATAGAAGTGAAGTTGCAGAGGAATGCACTTAGCGTCCTTGAAGCTCCTACAGGGAACGAAGAAGACAATGATCTTGAAGTCGAGCATACACAGTGGAATCCCTCTGATATGAGTAAGTAAGTATCAACCCTCTCCAATGTTGAGTAGTGTTAAAGACATGTTCTTTTTGATTGTCTTTTGCAGCATCTGAAGAAACTCTGAAACCTCATAAGCCGAAGCAAAGAGGACAAAGATCAGCACGTTTGTCTCATAAAACAATGTGCAGGGCCTTATCTTGTGACTCACATTCAAAAAACTCGAGTTTAACTCCTCGTGGGAACATGGTAATGCCATCATGACTATTCATTTTCAATGTTTTAAGCAGTGAGGAAGAATGTTTTTGAGTTGTTGATAAGGAAAAGTATGGTTTTAACGCAGAAGGTTGATCTTAGCAAACTTGATATGCCTGCATTACTGAGATATTGGCGACATTTTAACCTTGTGAGTTCTTTATTGGGTTTGAGAAAAGAACAGTCTTTTTCTACTACTCTCTTATGTTACTGATGATTGTAAAAGAGCGTTCTTGTTATTGACAACACTGTGTTCAATCTCTTTTTTCTTTGTAAGGTGGATGCTTTTCCTAATCCATCAAAGGAGCAACTAATTGACATTGTTCAAAGACACTTCATGTCTCAGGTAACATTACATGTTCTTCAAAAGGGCAAAGAAGCTAACCACCTATGTCTCTGAACTTGTCTTGTCTCTGGTTCACAGCAAATGGATGAGCTTCAGGTGATTGTAGGATTTGTTCAAGCTGCAAAAGGAATGAAGAAAAGCTTGCAATTGGAAACCAAAAGAATCCAGAAACACTGATCTTTAACTGCATCATCAGCTAAAATCTCCATAACAGACTAACAAAAAGAGTGGGTCACATGTTTTAACCATTCCGTGGCTTACGAAGTAGTTTGAGTATATTTAGTTAAGCTCTTGTCTCTCTTTGGTTTCACATTAGTGCTCTCTCGTGTAAGTACATCAAGAACCAAATGACATGAAAGGAAGAAACCCTCTAGTCTCGATCTTCTTGATCCGTGGTTCGGTATGTTTAGTATGTATATAAAGTATTGCAAAGGATCGAGTTTTCTTCTTTCTTTCAAATTCAAGACTTCATGAAATTAAATAGATACAAATCAAAGCAACAATGCAAATGAGATGACTGTAACAACAACTAAATACTTAGAAACAAATCTTAAAAATGGAAAAGAAGATCATTTTTCATACATGAAGCAAAAGAAATGTAAAAGAGACCCGAATCCAAACCGAAGCTCCGGTTTTTAAGACCGGGTTGGGCAGAAAGTGATCAAGTAGTTAGATCCGGAACAAGTGAAAGTGCTCGTTGCATCGTCGTAAGCGTAACTATAAGCACTAGGACAAGCACTCTTGAACATCGCCGAGTAATGCGTCGGAGAACAAGTTTGCGGCGTCGCGTGAGCTTCGGTACAGCAAAATTCCGGCGAATTAAACGCCAAGCAGGCGCTTTTACACGCCGCAACGATTCCATTGTTGCTCGGATCCATGATCCGAAGCTCGTAAGGACAAACCGCGTTTACATCGGCGACACAACCGGCGTAACGACAATCACCGGAACCTCCTTGTGGTTTGATCCCCATCTCCACATTGTAACCGTCGACGAGGCTCACGTCGTAGAAATCCTTACCGGATTCGCCTGATCCGACGGTAAATTCGGCAAGAGTGGTCGGAGGTACTCCACCGCCGATACATTTTAGAACGCCGCCGCAGTCTCCGGTTACGCAGTTTCCGTGACCGGTAGAATCGAAATTGCAGCCGGTACGAGCCCAGAACCGGCCTGACCATCCCTGAGGAGCGGTTAGCTGTTTGGAAGCGCCTGGAGCCAAGGGAAATCCGCCGCCGCCGAGTGTGTTGCTGTTACCGGAGAGAATTCCGGGCCAGACTGTGTACGGACAGCTGTTCTGTAATGTGAAGAGGGTGGCGGAAACAGCAATGCCGCCTGCAAAATCAAAATTAAAAAAAATGTTAAATCCGATGAAAAAAAACGAAACTTTTCTAAGAATCATTACGTAATATGTTGTGATCGAAGACGACAAAAGAAGCTTAAGAAACAGTATTGAAATGATCATCCTTTGAAATCAGACTAAACATAAGTGAAACAGAGAAGAAACCAAAAAACAGAGTGTGTTAAGATTGTTGGTACTTGTGATGAACACGAAGAAGAGAATGAGAACACTGGAGAAATTCCCCATT